AACAGCATCCATTTCTACATCACGGGAAGTGGTATTGAAGAGCTGTCACATAAATTGAAAGCCTGGGGATCATGTTTACAGAGACTTAAGGAAAGCATCTGATATAGCCTGCAATTGCCTGGTCTGGGAAAATATTGAGAAATTCCTGAATTCAGCTGACATATGTAAACCTGACAATTTTTAATTGATGCACTAAACCCAGAAAGTACACTTAAATTCCTTTTGTGGATTATAATTGAGAAGAAAAGAGTTATGCTGCCTTCCATAGAGGTGGCTGAAGGGGGGATGGGTAACTAGACATTTGGAGAGTGTAACTCATGCCTTGGGAACCTGTCTGTCTCTGATGGGATCACTTTCAACAAAGACCCAGACAGCTTTGGTCAGTTGTGACTAAAAAGGAGATTTCTGGTTTGTTTGTATTCTTCTTGCAGCTTTGTATCTCATGTGACCTTAGCCTGTCTGATGATAATATGTCATCTTGGAAAGCTTTAACATTTGTAAAAAATTACAATTTTTGCAGTTTGATATTGTCAGTGTGAGCTGTTTTGTTTTGCTATAAGTATCTTAGGTGAAAAGACCCACTTAAAAACTCAAGTAGCTGTACAGGGCTTGGGACCTGCTTATCAAACAGCTCTGCTGAACTAGTTCTGCCCTTCTTGTCTAATGTTTGAAACCAGCATAAATTTCAATTGTGGTTGTATGGTTGTGTTCACACTAATAAATAAGTAGTATTTTGCTATACATCTGTAAAACAGAGAAGGATTGATATAGGCATCTTTGTAGGTCTCACTTTCCCCGAGGCCTGCCCTAATTTACTGCCTTTGCTTTAAAAAAAATAAAAATCTAGAAGCTGTTAGGAATAAGAAGGTAGAAGAATGTCTTGACTAGGACATTCAATGTTTCTTTAAAAGAAAAGTGGGGGCACAGAATGTGAGAAGCATTATGAAATTGGGAAAGTGCCAGCTTACTGTGAAATATTCTGTGTATCCCAGAAACAATGCGGAAAGTTTAAAAATTCCATCCATTAAACATATTGTTATTTTTCTCATGGATGTGGTTTGGATTTGTGAGGTGAACAAACTGAGTACGTCTGTCTTTTTGCTAGAAAAAGTTTAATTGAGTGTTTTGGAGCAGGAGATCAGTTGTGGGATGCAGAGCTGTAGCCATGTGGCTCTGTTGTACATCACTCTTCTGTGATAAACTGTTTGTGTGGGCACTGTCGTCTTCACTTCCTGTATGGGTGCTCCTGAGTCCATACAGGTTTCTGTACAAGGGATATTCATTGATGATGCTCCTTCAGTCATGTACCTTTGCTTGTACCCCAACTCCTTCCCAATCCATTCTCATGTTTCCTTTTCTCTTCTGGCTCTCATTCTCTCTGAGGACTGTAGCAATATTGCAAACCCTAACATTTATCTGTTATTTTTTGGTTTTTTTGATACATGCAACTATGTCCTTTCTCACATGTGCTTCATGTTTTATGCCTGTCATCTCATTTTGCACACAAGTACAGTCAGCTGTAATTGCTTAACAAAAACATACGTGCTAATACAAAGTTAGGAGGAAAGTGCTTACATTGCTGGAGTTATTTGTTAGAAAACCTTTAAAGAAGTTGCAGAAGCTAGTGGTTTACTGCAGAATTTGCTGAAGTAATTAAACCTTTAAAAAATGTTAAGGACTGATGAACTTGTCAAATTTTGTGTGGCACATGACTATTACTTCGTAATAGCAGGCACCTCTGCAACAAAAGGAGAAGGGTAATGAAGGAGATACGTAGATACACTTTGCCCTAATTATCTTGACATCTTTATCTTATGTTTCAACGCTCTCCCTTTCCCTTCTTGAATCAAATTTTTGAATTGCGTACACTGGTTCTGTTTTTTCATGTCTTTCCAGCTAGAAACGTTGTGATAACATTTTTTTTTGCTAATGATTTGTTGGCAAGATTAGATGTCTGTTAGAAATATTAAGAGGTCAGAGGCCAAAAACATTATTTTCTTTGAAAACTGGAATGAATGTTTGCCAGTAAATGTAAAAACTTCTTTTCAACCTTCAATCATTTTAGAATATTTGATTTAGTATTACAATTCAGGGTTATATTCCTTTGCAGAATAATATATGGAGGGCAAGCTTGCAGAGCTCAAAGTTAGGAAAACAATCTTTTTACTGGTAAACTGAGCAAATTTATTTCTAAAGACAAGTAGAATTGCTGATGCAATCTTATTATCCCTTTCAGTCAAGCCTAGTTTTACATGAAATCCTAAAGCATTGAAGCTGGATAGAGCTGGACCAAATTTATTGTTTTGTTTTCATTTTTGTCATTAAGAGGCAAATGGTGTCTGTCTTTGACATCTATATGTTGCTGTTTTCATTCCTCAGTGAGACAGTTGAAAAAAGGGCAGACTGGTCAGAGTGTAGGTACTTCACTGAAAAGGTTCTATAGTACATGATGTGAAATCAAAAAGTCACTGCAGTTGGAAAAGACCCTTAAGAGCATTGAGTCCCACTGCTTATAAGCTTATATACTACCTTAACTCTGCTGAGCCTACCTCTAAACCATGTCCCCAAGCACCATATTGGCACGTCTATGAAATACATCCAGGCATGGTGACTCAACCACTTCCTAGGAAGCCTGTTCCAATGCTCCACTGTTCTTTACGCAAAGAGATTTTTCCTAATATACCATATAAACCTCTCCTGACACAGCTTGGGGCCAATTTAAGATGAGTTAATTCCTGAAAGATATGATTTAGGTATTATTAATGGATTCACAAATAAATGCTAAATAAAATCAGTATCTTTGACCGTAGGAAAATAACACAAATTCTGAACTTTTATGTGATTTGCTATCTATCTATAGATGTTTAGGGTTTTTAATTGTAAAACATAAAAGAAAAGGCATCTGTTGGACCCCAGATCTCTTTCTGGGTTTTAATTTGAATCCAACACAAAATAAGAGGAAAGGATTTCAGATTGAGGGTGAAATGAAAGGAAAAAACCCCATACCCAACGTTGAGTTGGGCAGCAGAGTGAAAAAAACAGTATTTTAATATATGTATGTCAATGTGACATTGCCTGGAGTAATGGGAATGTTGTAGAGCCCAAATGAAGTTTTTTCAAATTTCTTTGAATTAATTAAATATTGTAATGTAATCTTTCTGACATTTTTAAAATGCGAATATTAACCATTTATGATGTTTTTTGAAAGTGTCCATGGTATTTCTTAGACAAAAAATACATCATTTTAATTGCTTGTTAATATTTAACAAATACTACAGAAAATTTATTTTCAGATAGCCAATTCACATTTTGCTCCTTACATGTTCCTACATACTTGGAAAAATTTATGCAATTGGATGCACAAAATACGTTTTTTTAGTATTAATAAACACTGCCACCAAAGACAAACAGTTATAAACTGCAGTCTGGTCTTAGACTACAGGGTATGCATAATTGGATGGAAGTGACATTAATTTCAAAACAGTTAGTATGGCCAAGTGTAGGCCATTGCATTTGTTGCTCAAATACTGTAAGAAGTATGTTGTTGGTATTTGAAGTCCCCCTTTGTAAGAGTCATTTGTGGAGGGAATGCCTCACATGACTCCTCTCAATGACTGACTAAATCTGCACATTAAAATAAGCTTGGTAAGGTGTATAATCAAAAATAAGAAGATAAATGAACTGAGGATTCCTGTGCAAGATTAAATCAGTTAGTGTGATTGCATTTCATAAGCAAATTCTCCTTTTTTATTCTTTAGAATTGCATCTCTTTTAATACATAGTTTGGATAGAAATCACTGAGCAGCAGGTCATTGTTTGTTCTCTTACTGTTCAGGATGGGATTCTAGGTCTGATTTTGCTGCGTGTTGTTCAACACCCCCTCTGTCCCCCCCAAAAAAGATATGCATGATTTTTGTTTTGCTCATCACTACCATAAATAAAGGATTTCAAAGTCACTAATCTGCCATCTTCTCCTCTGTGTTTTAATCCTCATTTTACAGAGGGAAAGATGAGATACAGTTGCACTGCAAACCTTTAAGTCTTGAATGATGAATTTTACAACTATATGAATTAGCTTTCTTTTATGTAAAGAGGGCAAATGAGACGCATAGTTATCTAGGTATTAAAAAAGGAATCCACCTGTCTCAAATTCCTTTGTCTCTGTTTCTATATTCTCCCTTTTTCTTTTCCTGTGTATCCACTTCCTGTCTTGGAATCTTAGCTGGTTTTGATTGGGAAGTGGGACAGCTTGGTTTGACAAGACCATTAAAATTTAATTTGAGGTTCCTTCCTTATTAGTACAATTTTTAGATATTTTACTTTTTAATGACTTAATAAATAAGAAGTCATCTCCACAGAAGAACAAAATGTGAACTTGAAGGTGATTTCAACCTTTCTTTAGGATTATCAGCAAAATAGAAATAATTAAAATAAAACATACATCATTCCCATACTTGAATTTTATTGTACCTAAATGCAACACAACCTCAAAATACCTGAACTTTGTTCTATTAATTCTGTCAGGGATTAAATTTGGCAAAAGTAAATTCTTCCAGTCCTTTTCAGTCCTTTCCAAAGTATGTATATTGTATTTTGGTAGTTTTAGAAACTAAAAGCCTGCTTAGGAGAGTGTTGAAAATTGTCTTGGAATGTATTTTTATCTTAACCAGGCATAACTACCTTTGTTCAGCGCTGGTGGGAGTTTTCCAAGAGCACTGATGCGCTGATGTAAATCTGTACTGTATAATTAAACCTATGAATTCAAGTCTTGCATTCAAGCTCTTGTTATGAAAGCATATTCTGAAACAAATATAGTATTTTTAAAAGTCTGTTGGAAATACTTAGCTAGTGTACCTCCTAAAAATGCAGGGGTTTCTGTTTAGAAAAAGGAATAGCAGCAGAGCACATGCTATGGGGTAATGTTTGTCCCATTTCTTTAATTTGTAATTTGATTTGTAATTGTAATTTATTTTGTAATGTTTTGTTTGTTTGGCAAACAGGTACATACAAAGTTCCACTGCAGGCAAGCCCATGCTTCAGGGACTGACACTTCATGTTTGACATTTTCCTATGATGGCACTGTCCTTGCCAGCCGAGGAGGTAGGTGATTGAAAGAACCCTATGACATGTTGAATGTAAGATGGTTCTAATGAAATCAAATGGTTCATTAAACAAACCGATCACATAATTCTTAGATGTAATTGTTTGTGGTGGAGATAAGGTAGTAAAATCAGATACTAGTTATTAAAGAGTTTCACAATTTACTACTTTTATTTAATACACCATGCAATACTATGTTCCTGAAAGAGCATTTTACAGCAGTTAAGAAATATTTTAAGATAACTTTCCTGATTATATTACACAGTTTCTGATATTTGTTTTTATCTAGCCGTAGTAATACACTGAAAAAAATCATCAGCTTAATTAAAAATAGAACAAGTCCAGTTTTGTTGCTTAGTTCTTCCATGGAAGATTAGTGCCTCTCAGTAACACTATCTCTGTTCTGGAGGTATTAATTCTTCATACAATTTTCTTAGGCAATGTAATTTTCTGTCTTAATTGGAATTTTTATCTAATCTGTATTAAAAACATCAAAAGTTGGTGACTGGAATTTACTTTCCAAGATACACTTGAATGGCAAAAGATTTTGGAATGGTCACAGGACTGGGAAAAAAGGCTTGTGTTGTAAGCTTCAGATAAAACTTCTATACATGAGTCTTACATGATAGAACAAGACTTGAGATGGCAAAGATGTATTTGAGGACTCGTTCATTTCATTGTTGCCATAGGATGGTGTCTTTTGAAGACAACTTTTCATGCAGAGGTTTGTCTGCCCAATATTTTGCAGGCAGGTGCAAGTGTACAAGCCAAGCTGTCTGGATAGAAAATAGCAGTAACCAGAAGCTCTGTGTGTGCATTAGCATCGCCCCAAGGCCAAATAAACAGGCCTAGGAAGAGGCAATATTCATTAATGTCAGTTAATACTGTGCCTAACATATGTTTAAGACATCTGGTCAGTTTGGTACATAGACAGAATGAGATTACATACTCAAAATACCAGAATATAGGTATTCACAGTTAAAAAAATATAAAGCAGTGGATGTGTTTTCCTAGCCAAGTAGCTTGAATTTTCTTTGTGTCCTCCCTGTGCCCTGTCCCTGAAAGGGGTAGAGTGTCTGACTGGTGTACAGTGAAATGCAACTGATATTGGGTGCTGCCTTACTGATTCTTTGTGTGTCTTGCCACATTTCAAAGATTCCAAATGTTGTTTCCCAGAACACATCTTTCAGAGTAAGGACTTTGTAGTCTTACCCTTGAGGGCTTTAGGCATATGGACACTAATGGCACTTGATTTGTTTTGTAACTGTCAGGGTCCTGGATCCAGAGTTCTGCTGCCACTCTACCCATCATTAATGGGTTGTAAGTGGTGAGGTAAAAGCTCTCAAGCTTTTTTGTCCTTACAGAACCAGACTCCTATTATGTGTGAGCCTTCTCCTTCTTGGAAAGTATGTGAACTGTGTGTCCTTTCATTCTGCACTAAGTAAAAAGCTGTGTTTGTCTGCCAGTGGTGATTGCCCCAAAAAAATTCACACAAACATATTTCAGGAGTTTTGGAATAAACAACTTGGTTTGCTTTTAAACACCACAGCAAACAAGACTTAATACTTAGGGAGGGGTGCTGTCTTAAAACCTCTTTTTATGCAAATTCTCTTCTGTTTCACATTTATGAATGTAGATCAAATAAATTACCTTTTCTTATTTTTATTGCATGTGGCACTTTTACCTGCCTGCACTTCCTCATCTGTCTCCAGTTTTTGTCTCATGTTAAACAGACTTTCATTTACTCAGGTTTTATCTACCACTCTGTGCTCTAAGCTGTATGAAATGTTGATTGATTGATTGCAGAATGTAAGACTGCACAGAAATTTGGCCACTCAGTGTGGATAAAAGTGCTACCTTTGTCTAGTGTATTGAAAGAAAAAAAAGAGCTCTGTGTGCACTCTCTGTGTGCTAGAAAGTAAGGAGGATTCATACCTTATTTTGACTTGTTTGGTTAGTGCTTTAAAACAAGTATTGCTTTGGATCTGTACCAACAAAAGCAGATGTGGATCCAGCATTTGTAGATTAACACACCTGCCAAGTGCTGAGGATCAAAGAGAGGATAGTTGTTTGGGGCATGGGAACTTTCATTGAAAGCCTGATGGACTTTCTTGCATCTGATGTAGATTCTGTTTTGGATATGAGAAGATGAGGCATGGCTCAGCTGCATGCACAAGGGAAAATGAAAACCTAAGGAGCTGCTTATGAAAGTTTCCAGTCCTATTCTTGTTGGATATTAGGTAGTAACTTGACAGAAACTTAAGAAAGTGATATTTTTGCATGCTTGAAACCATGAAGGATAGTATTTGAGGAACATTTTCCTTGTTTAGCAGGGGAGAGATAAGAATTAGGATTGGACTTGGGGTCTTACTGTAAAAAATTTAAAAATATTTCCTTGACTCTTGATATTTTTTGTTGGTCTTTTGTTTGGGTTTTTTTTTTCCATTTCACTTGTATTTCTTTCTTCATTTTGAAATGGGTTTGAAAGCTAGAAACATGTATGCTCAAGGGTTATGCAGCAGCATGTATAGTGACTGTTTTGTGTACTGTAATAGCACATTGCTCTGAATAATAAATCCAAACACTGGCATTTCAAAAATCAGATGGGTTTTTGTCAAGTAATATTTCTCAGGAGCTGAACACTGGTGCTCATTCTAACTATGCCAGAAATACATTTACTAGTTTTAATAGGCATAGGCAGCTGTTTGCAGCACCTGGAGCTGACATGGCTTTATGAAAATTTTCTAGCATCCTTCTAGCCATAGGTTCATTTCATATGTTTAAAGAGGATGATGCATTAAGTATTTGATCAGGCTAGTATGGATGCAGGTGATGAGAAGTAGTGTCTCTCTACAAATGTAGGTAGAGATTCTTCAATTTGTAAATTCCCTCATGAGGTCTTTGGCTTTGGTCCCAACCTTTGATGCCTCCAAAGGTTGCTCTGTAGTTGTTGCAGCTCCTCCTGCAGAACCAGTAAAGAATGCAGAAGCCTCTACCTTGTTCTGTAAGGTGTCTCTCACATCTGTAGTGTAAGCCTTCATAGAAAGGCTCAGAGTTGATAAACATACTCTGGGTAAGCTTATTATGCTATGTGTTTCCTAAGCTATAACTTTTTAAAATTCCCATTTCCTATGTTTCTTTGCTTCCCTCATTGATCTCTGTGAACAGTTTCTGTCATCGAGCTTTGCTTTCAACACAGGAGTCCTTCTTTTTAGAATGTTGCTGACTGTAGGCTTTGTGAATTCTTGGCAGCACTTTTGCTTCTTTTGGGCCTGTTTGCATTCATGTGCTTGTCTTCCTAGGAACTACCTTCTGAAAAGAAAAGAAAAAAAATCAGATAAAATCTTTATAGTATTAGTGCTTTGGCCTTATTTTGACTAAAGGGCATTTGCAAAATGCCTGTCTGTACTCTCTAAAGACTGTTTTTCTAGGACCTAATTGTTAGGTTGTTTGCACTTGATAAATCCGGTGCTCAATACCATTGGCATTAACAGTGTCTTGACCTGATTGTGTCAGCCTGGAGCCTGTTTATTGGTATCCTTCTTATTAAAATGGAAAAAAATAGTGTTTGAAATGCTACAAAAAATGCTATAAAAGATTTAAATAATCCTGCCAGGCTTTGGAGAAGTGTGCTACCAAGAAAAAATACTGAATGATCTGAGCAAGCTGTTCTGAGTAGTCATACTGAATTGCACAACTTCTCTTTATATTCTTTTGTTTAAGGATAACTACTTTTGTTCTTGTATAAAGTAATTAAAAACAGATCACTACTGCTACAGCTCTGCTAAAGAGGCCTCCTAAGCATTGACAGAAGTATCCTACTGGAAAAAATCTTTGGTGCTGAGGAAAGTTAATATTCTGTGATCTTAGTGACAGTGATTTCAACTCAAAATGCAGTTTAGGTTTAGGAACTATCATGGTTTTAAAGCACTAGTTAAAAAAATCACTAGAAAACTTGCTCATTTCATGCCATGAGATATAGATTAGGAGAAAGGCAAAACAGGCTTAAAACATAAAAGGAATAAAGAAAGTTTATTAACAAAACTACAAGAATAAGAAACCAGAATAAAACCTCCAGAAACCCTTTTTCCTCACCACCCAACCACTCCCTTGTCTAATTGACAACGTAGAGACAAAACTTGGTGGTCAAAGTAGTCCCAACTATATAGTAGCTTTTTCATCAGTCTTTGTAGAGAAAAAAAGAAGTTCTCTTTTGTCATTCTATAGAGAGTTTTTTACAAGAAAACAGTTTTCTCATGGTTTTTTATTTTGCTGATGCCAGCCGCCCGGGAAGCTCTGCCGTCAGTCTTCTCCTCCCATTTCACACTACTTTGAGGTGTGTTCATGTGCCATGAATTCAAAGGGTGTCATTTTAAGGATGACTTATTCAAAGGCAAAGGTTCTCTTCATTTATTTCTGTGATCATTTCTGGGAACAGAAGTTTCCTCCTTTCTTCTTCGGGGCTACAAGTCTTCAGCAACTCTCACATCTCTGTTTCTGGTCCAGCATCTCATAGGATCACAACTACTTTACTATTTGCGCAGCTTCATCAATGAGCTACCCCTGATCAGATCTACACTTTGAAATACTTTATTCCCCCCAAAATACTCTTTCATGAATTAAAGGAGTTTTTCAGAACATTATTGTCCATCTCCCTAGCTTTAACAAAAGAATATTTCAGCTTATTAAGCCATCTCCTTATCCTCTTCCCATCTGAGGCTTAATTCTTTTGTTCACTGGCTTTGATAGTTTATGTTGTCTCTTTACATGTTTTTCACTCTTTCTCTTCTCCTCTGTCTCAGAAAAGCATTAAATCTACAGGTCTCCTCTGGGTAGTGAAAAGATTAAAATCTGGCTCAAGCCGCAGGTATTCACGGAGTCAGATTTCAGCTCAGCAGTGCTTAGAACCAGGCCCCCCTGGGAAAAGCTCCAGCCACCCCGGAGGCTGCAGGAGAGCCCGGCCCTGGGCTGGGGCCCGGGAAATTCCCTCAGGCTCCATCCCCCCGGCCAGGGAAGGAGGGCAGGCCCAGCCCAGCCCCTGCCTGGGCCTCGTGGCCTGGGGAGGGGACAGGAGCCAGCTGGAGTTGTTACCTTTCACAGCTGGAAACACAGGGAGCAAGAGAAATCACCGANGGGGTGGGTGGTCACAGGTTGATCTCACTTTTCAATGGTCAAAACTACTGTCAGTTCTAAGAAATGGCCAGTTATTGGCCAGCAGAAAAAACTCCCACCAGCCTCCAGCAGCCTTAACTTCCTTAGGTGTTTCTTACTTTTTTTTTTTTTTGTAAATGCCAGTCTATCACAGGAACCAATTTGCATTTTTACACTGATAATTTTAATTAGGAAAAGTGAATTGGAGCAAATTCTTAATATTGGTAAAGTTTCACAGCATTAGCAAGTCATGTCATTCTACTAGCATTTTTCTCTCTCCAAATGCTTAAACTTCTGTTTCTAAACTATTTCAGTTTAAAACAATGTTGACTTGAAATCAGCCATAAATTTGAGTCATACTAGAATCTTCTAAATTTTTTAACCAGCCCATTACATTTTCTTGCTAGCAAAGGAGCTATAGCTACATGTCTGACTGCATTTCTCCTGCTAAAACCTGGCAGGACTACAGCTTGAAGATCATGTCAAGGCTCATTCCACTAGGAACAGAACAGCCTTGGCTGCTAGCCGTAGATCTCTTCCTATCCAGGAGATTTGCAAAGTGGCCAAGTGGTGTCCTTTGCATACATTTATAAAGTGATGGTGCTTTAGATGTAGCATCTCGACGATAAGAGGGTTTTATTTCTTGTGGGGTGGGAGGGCAACGGGAGGGCTCATTTTACAAGAGTAAATGCTTTGAAGTACTTTGGTTGGAGTCTACTGGGAAATAATAAGAAAACAGATATTCCCAAAACAGGGGCTTAACATTTTTCTTTCTTGTCATTTTTTAGCTTCCCAATGAACAGAAATATTCTCTGCTCTAGACATCATTTATTTAAGTTGTCCACTTCTTAAAAATATTTTGTAGTAAGGAGTTATCCTAGTCTTTAATATAAACATACATGATGTACGAGGCCACACATTACTGCTTTCCCTGTAAAGGGCACTGCTGGCCTTGATTTCTTCTGTTACTTCTTTTAAAAACATTTTACTTCCAAGGCCTCCTTCAAGCTCTTGTGCTCAAAGGCTATGAATCCACAAAATACTTGTAGACAACCAAATTACTTCCCTGCAAGATTTGTACTTTGGAAGGAAGCAGATCTTGCCTCTTAGGTCAGGAAGATTTTGTAACTTTTTGTCTAAAATTAATCTCTGGATATTTTTAAAGAGAATTGTTGCTTAAATGTCCTTCTTTTTACCCTTGAAAGTGCTGAGGCACTGCTGTCAAATGCTAGGACGTGTCTAGGTGCTTGAGTGACGTACTTCAAAGTTCAAATTCTGTAGCTCATCTCATGCTGGAAATATGTGTTCCAGAAGGATGATCAGAGCAGAGATGTAGATGTCTCTGAGAATAACTAACTAATCTCCTTTTTTACTCCTGTTCTCACTTTGTTAATATGTCATAACTTTTCAAAAAGGGATAAACAGCCTGACTTTTACTGGCCTACAGTCACACCGTATTTATCAAACACAGATGAGAATTGCTACAAATCTCTTTCTGTAACCTTGATTTTGGCTTTTATGGCTGAAGGTACTGTGGTGAAAAGGTTTTGTTATAGCAAGTCTGGTTTCACTTGCTTCTCTTCACCCCTTTCCCTGAGGATTTCTGACTGATTCGAGGGCCTCTTCTCCATACTGAGATAGCAGTTTATGGCCTGCTAAAGAAGGGGGAAAACTTTTATGTGCTTTCCATTCTTCCTGACTGCTTTTTCAGGACAGGTAAAAACCACACGTACAAAACTCGTTTAGTTTTTCATCTAGATCATTCATGGCAACATTTTAAATTTCTTTCGATATATTGAAAGTTAAATTTGCTCCTAGCAGCAAAGCATTAATTCTTACAAACATAAAATAAATCAGTGATTGAGGAATCTGATTCCACTATGGATAGTGGTTCTTGATAGGAGGGATTAGCCACTGAAGAGAAGCATATTGAGCTTCTCAGCCTTGCACTGTCATAGTCACTTAACGAGGAAGAACATCCAAGTTGTTCCCATTTTGGGATGCTTCTATTACTTAATTTTGTTACCCTTCTCTCTGAATTAGAGAGTGAAATTTTCTGACATGTGTAAGTTCGTGATGTGAATTCTTTATTGATAACCTTTGTCTTTTTTGTTTCATAGGAGATGATACTTTAAAGATATGGGATATTAGACAATTTAAAAAACCTCTTAATTCAGCAGATGGACTGCCCAGCTTCTTTCCAATGTAAGTATTCTAATTTATTCCAATTAGCAGAAATAGCAGTATTTTTGCTGAATGGGAAGGGGTTTTGCTGGAGTTCTCACTTGTCACTAGGTCCACAGCTGTACAGAGAGGACTGCACAAGGATGACTGTGAAGTGACAATCCTTGTCTATTTTAGGGATTCACATCACTTTAAAAGATCTTATTTTTGTGATATTTCAGTCTCATATGTCTAAAGTCTAATTAGATTAGTAACATTTCACGAGGAGGCCCTTGTGTGTGTAATGAGATATAGATGTAAACCTCATTCTTATTTAGTCTATGATTAATAAAAAAAGAGATGAATGAGAAAGTAGACATAACATGAAGGTACATGGTATGAATTCAGGTTACAGTGTCAGAAGTGCTGACTTTATTTTACTCACAGTGCTAAGTATTGTTTTCAGTATTTTTTCCCCTACGGACAGTTTGTAATTTTGAAATAAGATCTTAGAAAGACAAGTCATGGACTCAATCTTAACTGCAGTTTGTAACACAGAGGGAGAGTAAACAGAAAAATATTTTTGACCAATGGATAAACACACCACCTTGTATCCCTGAAGAGTATATTGTCAGCAAAGACAGATTTCATGGTTAATACATTTTTTTTCCCTTAATGATGACAGCCAGATTTGAAAGTACTTTTTTGTGTGTTTCTTGTATTCGAAAGCTTGCAAGACTTTTGAGTGGAGGAGAATTTGGCTGGGATGAGGATTTTTGTAGATTCTGCCAATTCTGCACATCCTGTGCACAACTGTAACAACAGTCATAACAGATAACCCTAATTGATAGCTACAGCAATAGATGACAGCTAACAAAAGACTTTTTCAAGCTTTGTCTGGAAAGGACTAACAAATATAAAAAGATAGTTTTAAGGAGTACAATTCATATCTAAGTTCTTGATATGTTAATTATCTGCCCAGTGAGATGTTTTGTTTTCTTCAACAGGACAGATTGTTGTTTCAGCCCAGATGATAAAGTCCTTGTCACAGGCACCTCTGTTAAGAAAGGTGGTGGCAGTGGGAAGCTGTTTTTCTTTGATCGTGAGACCTTCCAGAAGCTGTATGAGATAGAAGTTACAGATGCGGTATGTATTTTAGCTTAATCATCTCTTCAAAACAGGAATGAATTCATATTAATATGCTTCTTTTCCTTTACATAGGTAGTTACCTACTGATACCACTGTGATTTTCCAGCTCCATGATTAAGAGATAGGGCTAGAGTAACCTGAATAATTGTAACCTGAAGAGTAACCTGAAAAATTAAAAAAAAAAAATTAAAAAAAGAAAATAAAAATCTTAAGTCAAGGTGTTTAAGCAGTAGAGCTTCCCTGCTCTGGTGCTAGCATTGTATTTATCAAGGATTTCTGCGAACCCTTCTAGATCTATGAAGTGAAACACAAGTCCTAAAATACGTAGATGTTCATGTTGTTTACTTCACCAGGTATCACGATGAAATGCCTTATTGTGACAAAACTCCTTTTTGTCCGTGAGACAAGATTAGTCTTACTAATTATTATAGATTTTGCTTTACTTTAGATCTTACTAATTACTCTAAAATGTATTTCTGGCTTGTCTAAATGCAACAATTTGGGACAAAAAAAAGGCATCATTAAAAAATCCATCAAATACACCATACTCACTAGTTGCTATAAAAACCTAGTGCTGTGAACCTGTTGTACAGAAGGGTCTTTATATGGCTTGAACTGATTCCTATTCCACCTATTCCCTTCCACAGAAGGGAAAAGCTCAATACCCTAGATGAAAAGGTCCTTTTACTCTTGTAATATACAAGTAAACTTATGGGTGATAACGAACAGGAGCGAGTGAAATTAGAGTAGAATTGCCACTGATAAGTATGGCAGTGTATGCTTAGTCACTTCAGTTGTTGGAGTATGTCAGATTAGCAATTTTGTCACTTTGTTTAAGGATACCATTTTCTCCTTCTGTACTTCTTCTAAGCTAGCACAACAGGCTTTCCTAGTACAGCAGACAAAATCTTCTGCTGGATGTTGTTTTCGCACCACTGCCTTTGTATTTGCTTTTCTTTTTGAATCCTGCTTTCTCCTTTAGTCCACCCTAGGGTAAAATCTGCTTATGGATGGATTTTTATATCTGTAATTTTGGTTGCAGCCATCTTGCAAATTAAAAATTCAGAATTCTTATCCAAGCAGAAAACACATGTTTTTTTGTAGAGCAGAAAAACACCTGTTTTCATCTTAAACATATAATCTAAATACAAAGAGGTTTTATACGACTTTGGAAGTTTTACTTAGTACTAAATTTTTTTTCCAAATACAGCAGAAATTTGCTGTTATATTCTTCTCCTGTGAAACATACCAAACCACAAACCAAACTTAACTAATTTCTAAGGAATTTTTATTTTCTGATATAAGCCACATAACCAAGTATTTATAACCTTTTTCTGAGAGAAAACATGAATGGCTCAGTACCTCCTCTGAAACTTCATGACAGAGAAAAGGAAAACAACTACATCAGATAAAGTACAAGAAGGAGATTTATGTAGGAGTTCTTCTGTCTGTGGGCACTGGAAACAAAACAGTTTCATAATTCCATTCACATTTAATTTGAACTCATCAGACCTGAGTGTTTGGAGGCGGTCATGGCGGCATCTCCTTTAGTAGTGATCATGTCAGTGTGCAGTAACAGTGTGTCGCTTTAGCTCTAAGGTTGCAAGAAGGAGGAGTTTGTCAATGGTGGATCCTGTCACTCCAAAAACACTTAAATAGTGAGAGATACTCCTCGCCAGTCTGCTTTTTTTTGCATTCAAAGAAACTTTGTCTTCTAAGTCTTGGAAATAAAGGGTCTGTTTACCTGCCAAGATAGATTGTACTACAGGGGAGCCCACAGAAGATCCCTTTGCTCTCAGTTTCTCTCAGAATCAAGAGCTAAATTTCTGTTCTTTGCTTAAAAATGCAAAAGAGACATGGAACAGGGACCCAACAGTAGGAAACTGTCAATAAACAACTTCATTGGGGCCACTAATATAGTAAAATTTTAAGTATGTGTAAAAGTCTAAGCAGGTTCATAATTTTATACTATAAATTTGTTTAGGTGCTGATATTTATATGTACTTTTTAAGACTGTAGTAAATCACTTTGGTCTATAGAGTTTTGGAGCTGCTGGTTTTCTTAATTTCTAGTCAAAAAATTTAAGACTGTCATTCTTCTGCTTTGCATATAATAGAAATGAATATGATGGAATTAATAGGTGAATAATTGAGACAAATACTGATCTTAGGACATAATTTTCAGTGAGCCAGCACTACAAATATCTGTACAACGAGTCTCTCTAGCTTACAACTTTAACTCTACACGTCTAAGGAAAACACAGTTTAGCTTATCAATCTGAATCTAAAAGCAGAAAAATTACTCTAAGTGGTCTTACAAAATAAAGGCAGTATATTTTTTCAAGGTCTTTCTACTGTTTGTATCTTCTGGTTTTTTCATTAGTGTTCTTTACTTGTTCCTCTCAAATTACTATGTTTGATGAAATATAAACGCATAAAGGCATGCTAAAAGCAAATGAATTTTCAAGAAGCTGGCTTTTATGTTTTGTAAGCAGTAAATGCTGTTTGTTGGAAAGATCATTGGTCTGTAAACTGGTAGATTAATATCTCATGTGTAGTTTATCAAAGCATTTTTTCAGCAGTGCAGTAATTGCTTTCTTTCTACCGGCTGCTTTCCTAGTTTGCATTTTTTCCTTATACTCTCAGAAATAGCAGTTAGCATTTAGCATTAGTGTAATTAAAGATAAACACACAATGTTATCCAAGACTTCAGTTTGTTTTCTGCAACTAAGTGTAACTTCCTTACATTTTCCATGTTATCTAGTGCTGAAATATGTAATTTTCCTTTCTATTTTGGGGTTTTTTAGGCATTGCAGAGCTGAAGTTCTGCTATGTTATATGTTTATAAATGCACATATGCATCATTATCTATCTCTGCAAAGAGCCTGATCTGCTCTCATTCCTAATGAAATCATTTCAGTGATTTCAGTGAAATTTAGTTCATATTGCTAAAGAAAAAAAGGCATCTTTAATAACTTTTTGAAGGCAATTGTATAGCAGTTTAGTGGTAAAATATGTATAATCAGATTAACAGAAAATATGTGAAGAAAAAGTATAAACTATTCATGTGTTACTTTTTTAATTCCACGAGGATTTTTTTAAAGGGAAATGCTAGCAAGCCTAGAAAATTGAAAAGCAGTAAAGAGCAGTAAACATTATCTTAAACCTCCTTGGTAAATAGCCAGTGAAATTGGCCTGTGAGTGAACTTAGTGGGTAATGAGAAAATATTTAATGAGAATGTTTGACCAAAGCTGTGTCTGGCATTCCTTTCCATCATACTGCACAAACCTTTTTTCACCTTTTCTTTCAAGTTTTCATGGGAAAATCCATTAGAGTTTAGAGCTGCTGGAGTGAAACCTTGTGGTTTTACTAATGGACTAACAGTCTGATTAGTTTCTGCTGTTGTGGCTGGGTATAAAATATTAATTTGCCTTTTTCCTCTTGTATTAGTATTTTGGTTTTTTGTTTCTCAGCCACAATCTGTGCTTAAACAGCTGTGTTGTTGTGTCCGTTCCTGAATGCCATCCCACCATCTAGGCACTGGGACTCTTGCAGATTCAAGCTTCTTAGATAAATAGCAATACTTTTTGAAGAAAGCTAATGTCATAGGAGCTGGACACCATGGGCTCTGTCTCTGGCCAGTAGCTGGAGAAGGTGTGAACAGGACAAAGACAAAATTGTTGGTGCTTCTGTGACCATCCTTTCTGTTTCCAGTGACTGCTGTTCTTGAGATATCTTGATGCAGACAGAGGAATTTTGCAGTTAATAGCATTCAGTGAAATTTTTTTTTTTCCATGAGTTTATTGAAGAGAGAAGTCATGCTGCAGGTTATGGCAGGGTCCTTTACTTACTGCTGATTACATCAAAATTATATCAGGGTGGGAGCTCCTGCCTTTGCCACTCACAAGAAAGCTGATGCTCTGTGTGCAGTACGCCAGCATTGCTCTGGCTTGGTATGTACAGGTACAGTTGGAGATTTTGAGGGCTTTGTAGTGTGACAGTGATTGTGTTTACTAAACTGTACCGAATTCCCTCTTTTTAATGGAACTTGAAAAAATCCTGTTATGAATGTGCAGCCTTTTCATAATTTTTCTGTCTCTCTTCTATCTTGAAAGTATTATTTATGAAAAGTTCTTCCGCTCTCACCTCAAATGTTCACAATCAAATATGTTTATTAAACATTCTCAATTTGAGCGTTAGAGGCTTATTTAATCTGAAATACCTATAATTGCACACAGAGCCTTTCTTCATTCAGTTTACATGGATAAGGAGACTTAAACAGATGCAGGGAACAATAATGCCAGAATATGGGGGAACAGAGTTTATGTCCAGAAACTCAGAGGCCATTTTCCTTTCTTTTCATCAGTTAATATGGGAGACAGGAGGACCTGTAGCTGCTGTGGAATGAGGTCTCATCTTTGGGATATGCTGTCTGGAAGGGAAGGGAGATTGTTCTGCCAGATGAAAGCCAGGGAGGGTTTATTCCTAATTCTTGCTTCAGTTATGCAAGCATGAGATCTTCATGGGAACCAGTTATAAATACCTAGTGTATGGGAAAAAGAATTGGGTACACAACATTTCCTCCAATGTCAGTTTAATTTAAAATAGCTGTGGATAGGCACTTCAGTCACTCTCACATGTCTGTCATTCATTTGGCTACTTCCAACAGATCACCCTGTAGTTATCCTGATTACAGACAAGATTGATCTTGGCAGCAGTAGAATACTCATTTTCCCCATATGGAAAGGACAAGTATTACACCTCGTTATTGCCAAGTAAGAATGGGCAGTGAGAAAGGAAAAAGAAACCAGAAGTTGTATAGTTACAGGAACTGCTGATTTTTAATGAAAATTGAAGTAGTAATTTAATTTACAAATGAGCCGGGATGATGAGTTCATGTACACTATAAAACGAGATGTGCAAGTTTTAAAAATATCTCACAGATTTTTGTAGATAAGAAACAATCCAAAACCATAGATTTATGGTTGTTTTGGGAA